ATAACCTCAGCTCTTGTTCGGCTCTGATCCTAACCCAGCAACTTCAGGTTTTCCCTGCTCTCTGAATCTTACTGTTTCCTCTGGACCCAGTCACCGGATGGTTTTTTGAGCACTAACTATGTAGACACCAGGGCTGCATGTGATCAAAGGACAGGTGTCAGAGATGTGAGGCTCTGACTCTGGGCACAGAGCCTGCACACCAATCTATTCTTAGTGTACAAGCCTAAACTGTGTAGAGTACAGAACATCCCAGGTGAAAAACGGGCAGTCTTGGAGGTCCCACATGGAAGCCAGGCTTGCCTGAGGAAAACAATGTTAGCACGGCTGGCCCTTGGGGATGGGGACGCTGAATGAAAGGAGAAAAAGAACACCTGGGCCCAGATGGAGGCAGGCTGCAAAGGCCACATGCACCTAGGGTGTCATATACGCTGAATGCCCTGCACCTGGATTTCAGGGGTCTGGATGGAGCAGCAGTCTCGGCAGGAGACACTATGCCACATATAAAGGAATGAGGGCTGTGGCTACAGTTCATACAGGAAGGTAGCTTGGATTGCAGCAGAAGCAAAGAAGTGGCCAGGTCTGAGGGACACAATGGCTGAGAACAGCTAAGTATTCTGCTATTGCTGGGCTTCAAGGACACCAGTCGGTCTCCTCACTCCCACCTCCTTACTGAGCAAACAGGCCAGCCCTCCTTTGCAAGGAGGATGGACTATAGGCTTTGTAGGGGGAAGTCTTCACTCTGAGCTCATGGGATGGAGTAGGAATCGAGCATAATCCAGTTAAGAAAAGCCCTGCAATCAATCCCATTGGCTTAAATTAAGTGCAACGCCTGGCACTGGTCCACAGCAGAGGCTAAGGTGGATCGCCAGCAAATCTAGGTTGCTAGCATGTGAAGCTGAAAAAGGGTTCATGATTTTGGGAAGAACGGGCACGGTGTGCATGTGTGTGTGTGTGTGTGTGTGTGTATGTATGGATAGTGTTAAGTGTTTGGGGTCCAAGTTCTGGACATTGTTTAGAATAAACTGTAATGTCATGGTGATTATGTGGACTGGGATCGCCTTTGTTGCTCACTGGCTGTGTGACCTTGGTGGACCACTTACCCTCTCTGGATCCTATTTTCCTACCTAGAAGAGGGCAGCATCAACAGGCTCCTATGGGTTTAGATCAAAGTGTCTTGTCAGCTTCAAAGCACAAGCAAATGCCAGGGACTAACAGGGAAGTTCCTTTCAAGCAAAACTCCCTAATTGGATGATACTGTTAAATTAATATGTTTGGGGGTGTCAGGCATAAGAATATCTTTATGTTTAGGGGACACATGTTATGTAGGAGTAAATAACAAAACGTTAAAATACTGGAATGGGCCGGAACAAGCAGTATTCCTAAGAGAGGCAGAGGCCTTCTGTGGGTCCCCCTCTCTCAGAGCAGCTACCTTATGTAGATCCCTCTCTCTCTCCCAGAGAAAGGTGGGGGTCTTCTGTTGGCTCCTCTCTCTTAGAGACAGCAGTCTTCTGTGGTCCCTCTCTCTCTTACAGAGGCAGTGGCCTTCTTTAGGTTCCTCTGGGCTGCTAGTTTTTAATGTCAACTTGACACAAGGTAGGGCCATCTGGGAAGAGAGGACCCTCAATTTAAAAACACCCACATCACACTGGCTTGTAGGAACACCTGGGGCGCATTGTCTTGATTGATAATTGATGTGGGAGGGCTCCGCCCACTGTGGAGAGGTGGTCCTGTGTTGTGTAAGAAAGCAGCAAGGGACAGGAGAGCCCCAGCAGTTAAGTACACTGGCTGCTCTCCTCGAGAACTTAGGGTCAATTCCCAGAACCCACATGCTGGTTCACAGGCATCTACAAGTCCAATTACAGGCACGAATCTGATGCCCCCTCCTGGCCTCTTTGGGCACTACATGTATGTGATGCACAGGCACACATGCTTACCTAACACCCATGTACAGAGAATGAAAATAGACAAATAATTTTTTTAAGCAAACAAGTAGGCCAAGCAAGCCATAAAGATCAGGTAGCATTTCTCCATGGCTTCTGCTTCAGCTCCTGCCTTGACCTCACTCAGTGATGGAGTGTGACCTGAGAGTTAGAAGCTCACACAAACCCTTTCCTCCCGAGTTGCTCAGGTCATGGTGGTTATTACAGCAACAGAAATCTACCGAGAACATCCTCCGTATCCCTTTATTTCCCTCTGGAACATGAACTCAGTCTACAGTCTAAAGAAACAATGGTTAATCTGTGTATCTGTGTGCACATGTTAATTCCACTGATCAAGAATAAGACCACTACCACAGTTAAAGCCAAATTGGAAGCTAGTTTTAACTAAATACTGGTTAGGTAGATGGGCTCTGGTCAGATCCATACCCAGGTTCCTGGGAAATGGTCCCAAGTCACGGTTTACAGCAGCTTAAGAAGGAAAACCCATAATTCATTGCATTCCCATCAGGTCCAATCATGGTCAGGCATATATCCTGATGTACCTCCAGACTACATCCAGTCAGGGACAAGCATATATCCTGATGTATTTCCTGCCTGTGAACCTCCCACCCACATGTGGTCAAGCACATCCGGTGCAGATGGCTCAAACAAACTTGTTTAGGGGAGAGGAAACACGTGGCTTGTTATCCCAGTGAACAAAGCCTCCAGCATTTCAGGAACTGTCTGTCCTTGAGCAAGAGGCTTGCAGATCAGAGGCATTTTTGTTTTCTGGATCTCTTAGGCACAGTAATTAAAACTTAAAATATAACTGGCTCTTACACATACACATGTACGATTCATGTGTATGTGTTTATGTGAGGTTGAGTCCACAATCACTCTCTTTATAGACAGGGTTTCTCACTGTGCCCGAAACTCACTGCCGTTGAAGACGGGCAGGGCAGTGAGCTCCAGGGACCCTTTGTCTTCTCCTCAGCACCAGGTCTGCATATACCTGCAGCTACTTCCCCACCTCCTCCTCCTGCTTCTCACAGGATCTGGGGATTAAACTCAAACCCTCATGCTTGTCTGATATTTAACAGCTAGCTGAGCCAGCTCCTTGGGCTTGGTGATGGTTAATGTTGTCTACCTGGCTGGATGAGTGATGCCCACTAGTGGGACGTGCCTGTGTGGAGGAGAGGAATTTCCAGAGGTGACTAGAGCATGGGTCCCTAACATGATGGTGCTAGACACTACGGGGAGGTGGTGAGATGTAGGTGGGGCCCAGATACAGGAAGCAGGTCACTGGGGAATCCTTCCTGGATGCCCTCTTTCAGTTTCCAGCCCATCGCAAGGCAAACTGCTCTGCTTCACCCCACCCCTCCCTGTGAAGTACCGACCCCACTGAAACCAAGAGAAATCTTTACTCGTTTAAATGGTTTGGGTCAGGCATTTTGTCACAGTGATAATAAGAAAAGTAATTACTACCTAAGGCAAGGGTTAAGAACCAGTAATAGCCTCCACAGACCTGGGCAGGCAGCAGGCTAAGGAGAGGTAGAGGACCAGAAGAAGAAGAACCCTCCTTTACTGGGGACAGCGGAGAGACTAAAGCAGAGTCAGCTGCCTAGATTACTTACAGCTATGTAGGAAAGTATCACATCATGGCCAATCCCCTCCTTTGTTGCAAAGTCAGGACAAGTTGTTTCGGGACACTTTTTCCTCAGTGATTAGAGGGAAGCTGGCTGCTCCCTAGGACTTTCCAGTATGACTACATAAGAATATGATGTCGGATGCCGGGCAATGGTGGCGTACGCCTTTAATCCCAGCACTCGGGAGGCAGAGGCAGGCGGATCTCTGTGAGTTCGAGACCAGCCTGGTCTACAGAGCTAGTGCCAGGACGGGCTCCAAAGCCACAGAGAAACCCTGTCTCGAAAAACAAAAACAAAGAAAGAAAGAATATGATGTCGGGGCTACTGCAGTACCCTGCTTCCATCGAAGGTGGAAGGAAGGTCAATAGGCTGGGGACAGCCATCCAGGAGCACACATGAGGCCATCTTGTCTCTGACCACCAGTATCACCCCATGTACAGGTAAGAACAAGTGGCCTTCTTGCTTCCCTTCCCTAGTCATCCCTTCCTCCTCACATTCTAACTTCCCCTCTGGTGGTAATGAGGAAAAAAAATCAGTATAAACAAGGCAATGCCACCAAGAAAGAGGATAGCTTAGACAGGACAGTGGCCTCAAGGGAGAAGGGCAAGGTGGAAAGTCACTCTGGACTCTGTCCACAGAAATCCAGATGCCAGCTGATGGATTCTGGAGGCATGCTTGGCTTTTGGAGTGAACATGATCTGTCCTGCCAGACCATAGCACCTTTGCTTCGCTCCATGCTCCATGCCCTCACTCTCAGCCTGTGTGTGAGGGGTCACTGCCTACACACGCTCCTCAGCATGCTGGGCACGAAGCTCAGAATGTGAGCGGCTAACCACACGGAACATAAGCACCTCCCTCTCCACCTCCACCCCAGCTTGCCGTGTAGTTTCTGCTCAATAGCTATACCAGGTCAGGTGAGTTCTCAAGTGTTTTCCCAACACTGCTGTTTCAGCTCTGGAGAAGATGGAGGTGTGACATCACACAAGTGGTTTGGGGACAAATATGGGGCTCTGCAGTTAACCCAGGCCCCAGTATGTGTTGCCCTGAAGCTCTCAAGCTCTGCTCCAGGTACACTCAGGATCCAACTGCACAGGCTCACTTTGGCTTAGATGCTGAATCTCAAGCATTCATTTCCAAGCAGCTTCTCCTATCACTTACTCTAGGAGGGACCAGAGAGCCACGTGTGTGTAGAAATGAGAAGTCTGCACCCTCTGGCTCTGTGGCACCTCATGTTCTGTGCCTTTTCTGCAGGGTCAGAAATTAAGAAGTTAACAAAAGGACAGGGTGTTTTCCTGGACACATAGGTTTCTCCTTTCCACTGAAGCTCTCTTTGGGATCCTTGCCCTTTGCTGATACACAGAGAGGTGTAGAGACCTGGAGCTTGGGGTACATGCCACCAGGGTGACTTCCCTTGTTGTCCGTTTCAGTCACTTACCTGAATACACTGGTACTTCCCAGCCTGGCTGCACGTGAGATTCACTCAAGTTCTTCCAAACACAGACCAGTGTTCAGCACCATCCTTAGCTCACTTTCTGCCCAAGCATCTTAGGCACAGGCATGTTTCAAGCTCTGGGTGATTGCAGCATGCAGAACTGTACTTCATAGGAAAGAGCATGGTCTTGAGAGCTACCGACCAGCAGGTCTTCCTGGGGCCCTAGCTTGGTGGGCCAACCAACTCACTGTCAACTGAATAACAAATTCAGTTATTACCTAGAAGGCTGTACCTTACCCCAGGTCTAAACTTCCCCAAGGTGCAGACAGTCTAGGTAGAGAGATTCAGAGCACTCTCACTGACACTGAGATGTCCCATGCTTTCAAAACAGCTTCCAAGTGCAAGCCGAGCCCTTCTCTTTGACGGCCACACTGTGGACCCACTTGCTTCCCTAATTAGGAAAGACTATGTCTTAATAAGAATTATTTGATTAAGTGTCCAACATTCAACACATGGCATATAAGAAAGCCATAATCACTCATTTGGCCCCATATACGGAAAATTATTGTTTAATGAATGCTATGTGCAATTTTAAAAGCAGTCCTTGGGGGTGGGCGACGGGCAAGTGCAATATTTATCTGCTGCACAAGCAGTCTTGGAGAGCTAGAAACCCTGCTTTCTGTGTGCAGTCCCACACTAAGGAGAAACGTCACCATTGCTGACTCACACCTGCCAACAGCTAAGGCCACCCTTCTGCTGCTGTTTGGTTTTGGCCTTTACGTAGCCATTCTTCTAACAGGCCTGTGGGTCTCAACATGGCTGCCTAAGAGCAGAGCTTAGAACTCAAAGCATTCTGGAGAGATGTGAAACCCCTGTCACAGAGTCCTGACTCAGCTGGCCTGAGGCGGGGACTTGGTTCCAATGATTCTAAGGTACGGGTGGGTGCAAGAACAACTCCTAATGACTACCAGCTCCTGCCAGCACCATGGCCTCCTCCATCTGGCGTCTCCAGCACAAGACAAGCTCACAAGTTTGGTGTGAGTCATAAGCAGCAGACAGCTGCAAAGCACTTGGAATTCTGGACCATCTTGCCATACCACCTCCTTCTGCCGCACCGCCCAGAGGCTCTGACAAAGCAAGGAGTCCTAGCTCGCCAGCCCTACACAGCAGGGTTGCTGTGTACTCAACCACCAGGCTTCAGCTGGGTCTGCTCATCTTGTGAAGACAGTGTCATGGCACCTGAGTCAGTAGAAGCAACTTCATATGTTAAGAAGGCATGGTACGGGCGTTAGGAATGTATGCTAATAAATTGTGCTGTGCTGCCGCCTGGTCACCACAGAGAACACTGGTCAGAACAAACACTTATTTCTTCCATGTGGCTCTCAGGGGAACATTTAAATAGCTCTCTGCACAAAAAGCATAAACCAAGCAGCCCATGCCTTTTTCTTGACATGGTCCTTCATTCACCCACGCCAGCTACTTGAGGCCCTCCATGGTGCAGTCACTGCTGTGGGCATATGGATACAGCACTGCACTTGAGCAACATACACTGGAGTTCAGTGCACTCAGCCCGCAGCGTGGAAGATGCTGAGAAGTAGGTTCACTGTCAGCATCTAACTCAGGTTGTAATAGATGCAGTAAGTAGAGCAAAGTTTGCTGAGGACCTGGGCATGGAGCCCTGGTGGCAAGGGCTCTCTGAGGACTGGGTTTCTATGGATCCCAGACAGATGTGCAGATGCAGGGGCAAGGAAAGCCTGAAGGTGGGACACGCCAAAAGCTGGGGAAAAGGTAGTGTGAACGAGAAGCAAAAGCCAGCCCCCTCCCACCTGTGTGCCCTGGCCAAGTGTGGAAGGACATAGTTATAGTGGCAAATGCAGCCACCAGTTTACCTGAACCAAACTGCTACCACAGAAGGTTCCACACAAGAAAACTGATAGGGTGAGATTTCTCGTCTTGGGAGCCATCCATTGGGTTGTGTTTCACCAAATCCCATAAGTAAACAAAACAAAAACAAAGCCTCCTATGTCAGTCTGTGATGGAGTTACATCCCAATAAAACAGTGTAGGTTAAGAATGTCCCAAGAATGCCTTTAGTATACTCAACCCATAGGACTCCTGGCTCCTGTCTTACCCTATGCTCAGAAAACTGCATTAGCCTAACACTGGGGCGAGCTCTCCCACACAGACTACTTTTAGGAAAGTGTTGAGTGTCTCATGGGATTTCTTGAAAGCTTGCGTCCAGAAAGCTCAGAAGAACATCCATGTGCATTTGTGGTGATGTGGTTGGCCACGCTGTGGGCCACTGCTGCTGCATGAGGGAGGGTGGGGCCATACAACAGTCCAAGCAAAGATTAAACCTACCTCGTGCTTCCCTTCCTCACCACTGTGAAATCTGAGATCCTGAGAAACGTCATCTCATATCTCAGGAGCTATCAATACAGAAATTCTCTTTTCTTGAATGGTGGAAGGAGACGGGGGAGGGGGGTGGTGGTGGTGTGACAGACACAAACCTTTTCATCCTTCATTTTAACCTCCTTTCAGATGTTACTTTCAAGAGACCTTCTCCCAAGGCCATCACTTTGTGCTCCCTGACCTCCTGTTGGGTTTTGTGGCTTACACTGTGGGAATCGCAGGGTACACCCATCTGTTCTGAGCACACTGGAATGTCACCCTGAGGTCACAGGCTGCACTTCCACTGCTTTCTGCTGGAGTTACCACAGCCTAAAGCACATAGAAAGTGCTCATGCATTATTTGTTGAATGAAATCGGAATGAACATCATTTGGTTCTGTTGTATTCTTCTGGGCTCTGAGGACTGAAGGGACCCCAGTGTTCCTGGACCCCTGCTCCCACACACATTCATGTCCTTTCTAATCTTTCGGCCTTCATCACTTTAAATGGGCTGACAAGCACAACTGACCAATTAATAGCACTTCTGCTTTTGTTACATCATTTGTAATCCACGATCCTCTTTCTTTTTGCAATGGCCTTTCAATTTTTCATGACTCAAAATGGAGGACATGCATAATGAATACAAAGAGCAAATTGATTAAATGTAACGCATGTCTTGCTGTTTGCTGGGTTTATGCCTGTTATTAATGGCAGAAATCCAACAAATTCTCATGAAAACACAGATAACATACAACCTTAAATGGAAGATGCTGGAGCACCAGGGCCCTAAATTTTCCCAATTACTGAGCAACAGCAGGCATTAATTTCTCATCCGGCAACCTCTGTAAATAAGAACACGGCCATGGCTTCTTTGTCTGGGTTCTTGTTGCTCAGCACAAACGGCTATACAGTGTGTGTGTGTTTAAAAACAAAAACAAGCCGCTCTTGAGGAACTGCCTATGTGTGAGGCAGAAAGGGCACCATGTGTGTGGAATCAAATGAATTAATTGTCTTCTGCCAGGATTGCATTTTTCCCCAAAGCTAATCTGCTCTGAAACAGAGTCACATAGCTTCCGTTGGTGTACTGTGTGTTTGAGCACCCAGAGATGATGACACGAAGCAAGGAAGGAGATGTAGAAAGGACAGTGGCCTAGCTGGATGTGTCGTTTGGGCCTCAGACTGCCAAGGGACAGACTGGTGTGCTGGGAGGGGCTACAAGGAGCATGCTTACTTTCTTAAGGTAATTTAAGGGTGAACTGAGTTTCCCCACTAGTGGGAAATATGGGAGGACAGGGTTTTCTCAGACCAGAAAGGTGGCTGGTGCTAGAAAACAGCTTCCATCTGGGAGGCCTGTAAATAGAAGAGAAGGCTGAGGATGGGGGTTCACACGTGGAATCCTAGCATTCAGGTGGCTTGAGGAAGAAGACGTCTGTGAGTCTGAGGTTCACCTGAACTATACAATGTATTCCAGACCAGTCCAAACCAAACCAACTGACCAACCAACCAATTACCCACCTGCCCACCCACCCAGAATAAAGCAGGTAGGAGTAGTCACTGGGGGCCTATCCATGCTCAGAAGCACATGTTCACAGTGAGCATAGCACAGTGTGCTCTAATACAAACTGGCCATGCTGTGTACTGTAGGAGGAGGAATGAGGAAGGGAACACGTGGCCATGGCCCTACTCTACCCCTCCAAAGGGCAACATTCTAATAGGTATGCATTTGCCATGAGCTTAACTCCAAATGTTTGCCCAGGTATTTGCCAAAATGTGTCTTGTTAACTCAGGGTGCACAGTGATTTTGGCAAAACTAAATTTAGACTTCTGCCTTGGAAAAGTGTACAAATCATTTTGGAATGGAAGACCCCCACCAAAAGACCCAGAATCAAGCACTTGGCAGTGGTTGGTTGAGATGTGGAAAGTGCGGGGGAACTGAGAAGAGAGACAAGGACAGGAAGTGGTGGCTCACCGTAAAGGGGATCCCATTACATCAGCCCCACAGTGAAGGTTGCTGCTGGATCACAAGGGGAATTCTGAGCAACTTCAAACTGCATGCCCCAGAATGCTCTAGCCCCACAGCGAAGGAGCTGGGATTTATACTCACCTTTGTGGCGGCAGCTGGTTAGGGCTGCCTGCAGAAATGCGATTCCTAGGGCTGTCTAGCCACGCTATGGACGCATGAGTTCCAGAGCCTGCATGACAAAAATACAGTGAATGTGGTGAGGTCAACAGAGATGGTGCCCAAAGATTCCCAAGATGTGGGATTCCCCCTGCACATACTAGTCCATCCCATCTTACACCTTTGAAGCCTTCACTGTGCTCATGACAAATGTCTGACTGGTGCATGTGGCAGATTGAACATGCTACTGAATACAGTTTGAAGGGAGTTGAGACTACTGGGTGCTCCTGGCTAAATTTCCGCTCTCTGGAGACAGCAAGACAGATTTCTTGTGAAAATTTAGGAAACATGCATGTTCTCCTCCCCCACTGTCATATGTCTATGTGAGAGAATAAAGAATTCACAGCTAGATCTAAAAACAGAGCCAAATTAGGAAGAGAAATACATTTACAGACCATAGCATAAGAGAAAGCAGCACACTGACAAAGACAGGAAGAAAGGAATGAGGATTTAATTATAATAAAACACATACGCACACACCAAAAACTCTTGCTACCTTTAAGCATTTTCCCAGGCGAATCAGAAGTGCATATGTCTGAATGGGCGCATTCTAGTGTCATGTCATGGCATCTGATTGTCAGATGGGCCACCGCCTATACTGGAATTCACCTTTTAAAGCCAAAGAATTTCTCAGTGTGTCCACTTCTTGATATTTCAGTTGTAAAAATATTTTCTTAATGCCTAAAATATAAAAATTCTACAAGTTGGTATTTATTTCATGTAGAGTATGTACTGTTTTCATATGCATGGAATCTCTTGAAGAGGCTGGGGCAGAGAGATGGTGAGTGACTAGCCTGGTACCACTGGAGAAGTAGAGCTGGGATTTGAGCAGAGACAGAGAGAGATGGGGGGTCCGTCCAGCTTTTAAAACCTGCCTAGCACATGCACACAGGGGGATGGCATGTGGAGATGACAGGGCTCACGCGCAAGGCTGCAAGGCTGAGTCATACGTGGATGTAACCAAGTATGCGTGCACGTGGGTCACGAGGGGGGATTTTAAAATTCAGGTTCTGCCTGAGGGCTTGTCTGCATGTGCATGGCTCTAGAACCCGGAAGTGCAGCCTTATTTTTGGCTGAATAATTAGTCATAATTGGCTGGGTACATCTTAATTGATATGGTTCTCAGTTATACCAGGACAACAAAGGAGCAACATCCTAAAAAAGAGCCTATTAAAACAGCAAAGACGCTAACTTCCCCAGGCATGGCCAGCCTGTGGTAGCAAGGCTGTTGAATTCTTATCTCAAACCCATTTTGAAGACATCTGCTCTCGGAGTCTGGGGAGAGTCACTGTGGGATCTAGGAGACTGAGTCTGTTTCTCTGGCCACCGAGCAAGCCTGCTGGACTCCACACTGAGTAATGCACAACACGCAAATGGCGCTGCCTCCTCCTCAGCTTTCACTGGCATTTACCAAGTAAAATAATGCGGATGATCGTAGATGGAAGCAGTGCTTAGAAAGCACGCGCACAATTGCTTACACTCACATTTATTATAGTGTGATACTGAGCCTAAAAAAGAACTGACATTTTACTGCAAGTGAGCTTATCAACTCAGACTGGAGACGTCCCTCGTTCTTCTAACCATCTCCCCAGGAGGGACGAGAAGGAAGCCCAGGCCCATGGCGCTAGAAGCCTATGGTTTGCTTTTCCATGGTATTTCTATTACCACCTAAGTGTAGATGTGGCAGAGCACATATGCACAGAAATGTTCCTTGCTAAATTTAAAGAAATGTTCTTTCTCCACTTCTTACAGCTAAGGACTTATGAGAGATAATGTCTGAAGAGCCAGAAAAATCTACCACTACACATGGCTAAAAGACCCTTGTTTTGCTACCTACCAGAGAATTGCTGTGGCTTGGGTACTGCAGGGGCTGTTGGGTGACATGGTGGGGCACTGCTTAAGAGCAGCTTACCTGCGCCCGCCCATCGAACTCTGGAGAGAACTGGCAACTCTACGGCAAGCATTTTAGAACCTCACTGGCTTGTCTGGGCTTGTTTTTCCCACATGTTCAGTAATAGCAGCAGCTTTGGCAATGTCAGGTCCCAATCAGTCAGGGAGATTTGTTTAGAAATTGTGACCGGTCACAGTGTACCTTTATTTAATCTTCAATCTCACAACAAGTCATTTTTATTACTCAGGCTGCTGTTTGGTGGAGTGTGACCTGCACAACTGAAGCCACCTCTTCAGACGCCCACAGAACCACTACCACGGACACCTGCAGGGTGCTGATTCTCCAGAGTGGGAGGTGGGGTATGTGTGTGTTTCCGATGCCCTTTTGACAGTTGCCAATCTCCTGATGTAGCCAGGACTGGCTTAGATTGAGAGTGAGTCTAATGGTAACAATGAGATTTGGATTTTGGATTCATGCGCCTCATCTCCCTGTGACTCTGACAAGCCCTCAGCTAGAAACAGACATACAACTAGGACGTGGCACTGCATAAGTCTCCCAAGGATTGCATTAGGTAGCCCAAGTTAACTGGCGCACTTAGGGTTTCCACTGCTGTGATAAAATCCATAACCAAAAACAACCTGGGGAATAAAGGAACCTTACACGTCCCAACTACAGTCCATCATGAAGAAAAGTCAGAGCGAAAACACAAGGCAGGAACCTGGAGCAGGAACGGAAGCTTACTGGCTTCCTTGCCATGGCTTGCTCACTCTGCTTTCATATACAACCAGGAACTACCTGCCCAGGGGTGGCACACAGTGAGCTGGGCCCTCTCACAGCAAACATCAATCAATAAAATGCACCAAAGGCTTATCCACAGACCAATTTGTGTGGATACTTTCTCAACTGAGGTTCCCTCTTTCCAGACAACTCTAACTTGTGTCAAGTTGACATAAAACTAGCCGGCACAATGACTAAATTAAAAAAGTCAACATAAAGTTCAAAAGCCCATTAGCCAAATCTATGTACAAAACACAGCCCGCCATGCACTGCTGATTAAACCGTTTCAAAGGCTTACACTTTTAACAGCTGAGCCATGAGACGTGAGAATGACAACCCAGGCAGACGATGCTAAAAGGAAAAACGTGTGTCCAAACACTAATAATGAAACAGGCAGCCTGAAAAATGGAAAAGGAATGGTAGATCAAGTTCGTCTCTAATGACCTGAGACTGTTCTATTATATAGCTCAGATGTCTGTGAAACGGACATACTACAGACCCCAGTACAGGACCCCAGCACAGACATTTGCTGACTGCGACCCAGTGAGGTCAGCGTGCAGCTGATGCCACTGCGGCACTGAGGACCCGAAGGCAGCCAGGAAGGCTTCCTTTCCCTCAGCGCTCAACTGGTTTCTAGAGCTACAGCATATTAACACTGTCACTGATACAGTGAATGTTTATAAATGGGTTTTCCTCCGTGGAAATAGTAGACTGGATAAAATGCTGAAAGATGGAGCAGGACCGTATTTTTATTTTATCTGCCCGCACTCCGGTCTCACAGCAGAGCTTTCGCAGCACTCACGAGAGAAGAGGGTTACAGCATTTCCTAACAGCCAGTCTTACGGCTCAACAACCGGGGAGATACTATTATGACAGCACTTTGTGGACAGGACAACTAGGCTTGGAGAGCTCGAGTTTCTCTCCTATGAGCACACAGTTGGCAGGAGAATGGCTGCACTCTGGGCAGTCGGGCTCCATGGTACTGGACTCACTGTGATGTGGCCTAATTTCTCAGTTTCTGAATCTTTGAAAGATAAAGTCAACATATGATACAATTTTATATGCTTTGAGAAAGAAAAAAATAGTGAAGAAACTCAACCTTAAAATGTATCCATTGTCTTCATAATTAAACACTGGATTAAGGGCCCTTTGGAGAAGTAAACTGCACAAAAATTAAACAAAAGGATAGATGGCTGGAAAGACGTTTTTTCCCATCATTCCACAATAATTTTCACATTGAGATCAGATTAGAAAACAACCAGGACAAATCACTAAGAATAAACTCCCCCGAGTGACTTTTAGACTGATCCTAACAGAACTAGGCGTGACAACATTCTTGTCAAGTGTTCCCTGCCACAAAGGCAGGGCAGGCGCTAATATTAACAGCTCCCGAAGAGCTACAGCCTGAAAGAAAGATGTCCTGTAGGTCAAACTGCCCTTCCCTGCCAATATTTCAGAAACACACATTTACCTGTAGTCTCCATTACCAATAAGGCGGCACCACTCAACAAACATCTACAGAGCTCCAATCCCGCACTCCAGACATCACCAAATCAGCCAGAAGCCCACTTATAGAACAGGAGCTTAGATAAAGAATTATAGTGTGAGCTAAGCATTAACAGCGCTTCCATAAGCAGTGATGTCTTCAAAAACAAAACAGAACACAGACAACAGTCCTTAGTACCAACTGGAACAATTACCATGCAAAGTGAGGAAGGAGAAGAGAGGACGCATGAGAGCCATGAATCAAATGGACCCCAAGTCATCACAGTGAGCACTCAGAAGGCTTTAACTGCATTCTGCACGCTCAGAATGCCAAGAACACACACACAGGAACACAAATACATACAAGCACATACAGACACACACACAGGAACACAGATACACACAAGCACAGACACAGACATACACACATTTCAAAAGACCCAAACTGAATCACTAGAGATGAAGACTATAACATCTAATATGTATATAAAAAAATTACACTGGTGATTACAGAAGGAAACATCAGTGAACTCACAGACTGGTTACAGAAAGCATTAACAACAAAAGACAAGGGGAAGAGGATTTTATAAATCAGAGAGCATCATGGGCTATGAGGTTAACTCCTTGAGGTTTAAAAATAGCCTAAAATTCCACTTGTGACCAGATAGTAAAATCACATATTCATGAAGCACAACAGATTGGAAGGGAGTTCCAGCAAGGTATGTCATCACCAATTTACCCCAAAGCAGCGAAAGAGTTCATCTTTAAGGTACAAAAAAATAATAATGCAGATTTCCAGACAGAAAAAACACCTGCGAGAAGACAGTGGGGCCTTCCCCTGCTTCTAGCCTATCAATAGA